CTCGGCGTTTCATGAGGCGAGATAAAAAGCATATGTGTTCCATGGCAAAAAAGTTTGAGGAACACTGTTTTCAGTGAACGCACAAAAGAAAACTTATAAACGAAATATCATACCTTTGGGCTCCAGTAACCTCGAAATCCCAAGAAGTTTTTCAGTGACCTGGAACGCATGTTCTAAATTCTCTGTGTTTGTGTGTCAACCAACAGGCTGAATTGTGTAAATCATCTTATTAAAAGCTCCCCCATCCCTCCAGCTCGGCCCAAAATCTTTTACTGCTATGTTGAAGCCTTCTGGATTGCTGTGGAAAGCAAATATAATTATTTATCGATCTCGATCGGTAAGTATGTTGATAGGTCTTTTTCTGTCCGTCTGTTAGACACACATGATGTCTCACAAAATCGAGGTGGAATATGCTCCAAATTTCGCATGTGCATTCATCATATCTCGGCCCAGAAGCCTATTGATTTTGGATGAATTATGTCGTATAATTAGCGAGGTATTAATTAATTAGTGATGGGGCACGTGGTGTTTGTTTTGTATGACTGAAGCAGGGAACTCCAGCACGCTGCAGCATTTTTGCATGCTGTCTTAAGTCTAGCAAACCTAGCATTGAGTTTCTTACCACAACTAAATGTTGCCAAATATCCAGCACAATCAAATGAATATGTTTCATATCTCGTTTGGTGTAAGATTCAAGTGTAATTTCAATAAATACATTCAGAATTCTTTTGTTATTTTTTGTGCAGCAAATTTGTACCAGATTTTTGGTTTGTGGCCCGTGTCATCAATATATATTTCAAAAAGTGGCCCATGACATATTTGTTTTTGGTCCAGAGGCCAAAAATTTTGCCCATCTAGACTGGCGGGCCATGTACGTGTGTCGTAACAGTTACATTTTAGTAACATTATTTACAGTGTTATAAAAGCAAAAGTGGAAAACAATAAGCCTCGTGCCAAAACTAAATTTAATCGCAATTTCAACAAATTTCTCGAGTATTTTTTAGATAAAACATCAAAATTTGGTTTCAGTTCGGTTGTGGCAGTATCAGGCAGGTCAAATTGAATTACCCAACAGGCAAAATCCAGTCCGTTTGCCCATGTCAGTATTATAAGGATATGCTCAAATAAAAAACAGCACACCAACATAAAAATATTTGAGTATGCTCTCATGCCCATAACGGCAAATTAAATGGTTAAACCCACTATGATCTTTGGCGCATAATGACAGCCTTTTTCCATTAGCATGTTTGAAACAATCAGATAACTATGCAAATCCTATCCTTATATAGTCAAGTCAAAGGTAGACTTTAGGCCTTCTTATCCATTAAAAAACTTTTAGGAAATATCTCATAAAAAATGATTTTGGTCACCCAAGGTAGGAATATTGTGGTTTTGGGGGATAAATTTTGCTTTGTATTTGCTGGAGTATTACTAATATAATTCAATTCTTCATTATTGTTAAATTCATATTAATGCACAAATTATAAACAAATAAAGCTTACAAAAGCAGAAGTGCTGTTTGGGTACTCCGTAGTATGTGTTAGGGTTAGGCCATAATTTTATTCTGATTTTCCTTATTTTAGTTCCATTACGAGTTCGGGGACTGTCTGTGTTAGCCAAGGTAATATACCCCTGCCTATAGGTTTTCGGAAGCTCCAGAAGTGTGTGTACCAATATGGAGGAAAGAGAGGTTATAAGTTGTCATACCAACACTTTTGTAAATAGAATCTAGACCTGACATGAGCAAACTATGGCCCACGAGCCAAATCTGGCCCGTTGGCTAATTCAATATGGCCCGCCTCATGCTACCACAACCAAACTAAAACCAAATTTTGATGTTTTAGCTAAAAAAGCAGAAGGCATTTATTAAAATTGCGAACAAATTTAGTTTTAGAACAAGGCTTATTGTTTTTCCCTTTTTATTTTTGTAACACTGTAAATATTGTTCATAAAATGTAAATTTTTACGTCACACTCACATGGCCCGTCAGTCTAGTTGGGCAAAATTACGTAGTATGTGTACCAGGTTTTATGTACCACTTTTATGGGTGAGTAATAAGCAAAAAGATATAGCAGTTCGAAGTTCCATATCTATATATCAGTATGCTCACAAGATTCAATACATAGCAAAATAGGCCAATTGCATAGTGTAGTGAACCACTGACAAGCCGGTTACAAACTCCTCACCACGGTTTTGATGACCAGTCAAGTCACAAATTAATGCAAAAACATACTTTTTATTGGGCCTTTTTATAGGCAAAATGGGATTATTTTCAATATAAATATTTCGGCTCTTCTCGCTGGCAATAATTACATATTATCCAAATTTAACTAAGAGAAACTGTACTGCAACAGTTTTTTACAAATCCATTAAGTGATTGAAGAATATTTACTTTGCAATATTGTTATTATACATTCGTGTGAAGTTCTTTCAAGTTTACGGTATTCGCTTGGACAGCCCTAATAGTCATGCAAGCTATATTTGGAATATGAGAACACAGCCATGACCATCATTCAATTGGGACCCTTTAAACTGCTGCCTGAAAGAGGCCATCTGAATGATTAATTGGCCGCCAGTTACAGATCGATCTCTTTTATTTCTTTGTGTGACTTTGCTTTAGGCGAATTTTTCTTATAAAAAAATAAAGTTAAAAATATCTCAACTTGGTTTATTGCTTATTTCTATTAGATCAAGCTTCTCAAGCTTTTTTAGGGGAAACATTCTGTGAAATAACCTTAGCAAGCAATGAAACTAGGAAGAAACGGGGAGTTTTCTAGTCAAGGGAGAAGTAAAATCAGTTTTACGCCTGACACGGTGCCTAGGAAAAAGGGAAAGAAAAATTAATTGTGCGCCTGGCATGGCAGCAACCCTCCAACTGCTCTGCAGCCCCTCTATAGGCCTATATATGTAACCCCATATGTACAAATCGATCCTTATGTTTTCTTGCTTTTAAAATATTTGTTTCCCATTTTGAACACTTCACTAGCACTCGTAGGATTCGAAGTAGGTTCACAAAACGATAATTTCCTCATCACTTTAATCATCACTCATAAATTTAATCGCCCATTTTACATAAAGCTGTGTAAAGGGACGGAAACCTATGGGAAGGGTGTATATTCACATGGCTAACACAGACAGTCCCTAAACTCGTAATAGAACTAAAATAAGGAAAATCAGAATAAAATTATGGCCTAACCCTAACCTGGTGCACGTATTACAGGAGTACTATGAAATATGCAAGACTAAATAGTCGACTGCACTAAGAAACATTAGTGTTTTTATCAAGCTGTATGCTAAACGTAATAAGGACAGTTGATAAAGTGCCAATTACTCGTTTGTGTGTATAGCAATATAGACTCAAATCAGAATGTATGTGACGAAACACGAAAATGATTACTTGACTTTATATAACTTCTAGTTTTCCTACAGACTCCTAAAACACTTTCTAGGAAACCCAAATAAAACTGCTAGTATTAAACAAGAACAACAAAGTATTTGCATTTTCACTTATTATTATTATTGAAAACTTCTCAAATAGTTTGATTCATATAGATTGCATTATCTGATTAGATGAGATGCTGATGAAACATATCAAAAAAGGGCGCAGTGTCAGTGTAAACCTTTTTAAGTCATAGTCACAATTTTTGAAATCTAATAATGATTAATCTAAGGCAAGGCAATTACTTTCTTAAGTGAGCCACTCATAGATAATAGACTTTGTTACTGGGCCGGAGGTTCAAAACTCAATATGAAATTGAAATATTTATATCGAAACTTGGTTCCCTGCGACTTCCTTTCCCCAGTAAAAAGGTGTGTTTAATTTATTTCTTTTTTTCGTATCTATGGGATGGAAAAATAAACTTCACTATGAAAAACAGTTTATTTACAAATGACTAGAGTCGATAAAATTTGCCTGCCGTTTCACTATTGTAATCCAATATTCATTTGTTACATGAGAATTGTACATCCATAAAAGCTATAATCAAAATTTCAGCAGGCACAAGTGGGCGGGATGAAACATTTCAGCGGTATGAAGCCATTTCGCAGGTCGTAATTTGCTCAACACTGATCTAAGGAATAATTCCTGGTGGAAACTACCGTATTTTACGATCCATAAGGTGCACCGTCAATAAATTTCTCAGATTGGGTTTTAATTCATACATAAGGGTATGGTACTTGTTTTGCGCGTAGACAATAAAGCATTATCCAATCCATACAATGAGTGCCAAGGTTGCCGGCACCTGCTTTGTCGAGTGTAGAGAATAAAGCATAAATCACCTCCTGATCCATACATTAGGTATCATTGGTCACTACATTAATTCAAAATGAATTTACAAATAATCATTAAAAAAAATTGGCACTTCTCCGCGGGCCGCACAATTTTTCCTTGTGGGCTGCATTCGGCTCGCAGGCCTCAGGTTGAGGTTGCGGCTTATAAGGCACATGGTCAATTTAAAAAAAAATAGATTCAGACTGTGCCCCTATGGTCCATAAAATATGGTATTAGGTTTACTTAGTGTACTAAACAGACAATAAATTAAAACTTTCATGACAAAAAAAATTTTTGATTGAAATATGATGTTCTTAAATACGAGGGTCGGATAAAAATGTACCTCAATCTGAAAAGTGTTTTTAAATATTGTGGAATTTGAAGTCGGGTGGTAATTTTTGACAACCCCATGACCATGAAGAAAAAAAACAATGGGAACGCTCATAACAGCAACAATGGGAACACTTAGATCATCAAGATGGGACCTCGGGCCCTCTAGAAGGCAACAGAAAGATACTTAGGGTCAACAGTCTTTACTAGGGGTGCTCTCGAAGTATGCGAACCAAGATGGCGGACATCGGAACGTAACATGGGTAACAGGTTAGGGTTAGGCGATAATTTTATTCCAATTTTCCTTATTTTAGTCCTATTATCAGTTCGAAGACTAGCCAAGAGCCTCCCGTAGTATTTATACCTAAAATTATGGCCTAACCCTAACCTAGTACACATATTACATTCCGATGTCCGCCATCTTGGTTCGCATACTTCGGGAGCCCCTTACTAGGTACTATTAACCATGACTACATTAATTGAGTCTCAGAAGGCAGCTACAGATCATAGAAGGGAGGCATGCAATGTTGAGAATCTTTGTGAGGGAGGCACGGATTATGAGAGTTTGAGACCCACTGTTTTAAAGTCTCCACTGATAATTTCTGCCAGTACGACGAGGTCACAAAGTATTGAGTCTTAGGTAGCCACGAATCATGTAATATTTACAAGGATAAATCAAGTCTTAATTATTATGCAGCTCTACGTTTTTCTTACATTTTTTTCAAAGCTGGTTTGTTTATTAAACCAAATAGAAATCTTTGGTGAGACTGGACTCATAGATGCTCATTGCCTTGCAATCCTCTCCTTCTACTTTGCCACTCCTGTTTTTCATCTGGTTATTCACAATTGTAAGCATATCAGTAACATGCTTGGTCTTGTAGTATATTCTGAACACATCATAAATAAACCCGATCATCCAGGAACCATCTTTCTTATTCCTCAGAGCCATGAACTCTTGATGAGTTGCATATACAGTAATGATATCACTCATCTCAGGCATAAGAGCATCCACAGGATAAGAGTAGGTAAATAACTCAGTTTTCTGGTTTTCTGAAAATACACCTGCATCAGTAGTATCTTTGGAAACCCCTTTATCAATCTTTTCTCCCCTGCAGTATTGGAGAATTAGCAATTTTGGTATATCTCTCAAAGGCTGAGCTTCTTTATTGCATAAGATTTTTTGAAATTCACTTGCTTGTAATTTACTTCCGTCATTTCCATATAGTATTTCTTCATATTTTATCAGCTTTGTTTCTTGATTTTCACCAGTCTTAATTTCTGTTTTTTGATCAATAATTTCCTCTGCTTCCACAAATCCTCCGTGCGTACTTATAACCACAACAGCATAATCGATATTTTCTTTTTTCGCCACTTTTTCCAGTAATTCTCTCATTTCGTCAGCCGTTTTATCAGAATGAACTTTGTCATCCACAAGTTCACATCTCAAGGTTTCACTCCACAGTTCTTTCATTTTTTCCAAATCTCTGTCACATCCAGGTTTTCTGGAACTATGGCCTTCAGTGTCAACAAAAGAATTGCCTATGATAAGTGCGATACCTTTTCCGTTTTTTAATGGATACCTGAGCTCATCATTACTTTTTCCCCCATCAAGATCCTGTTGTGCCTCTACTGATTTTGAAAAAATTGTTTCAGATTTGCTGAAAAAATATTCAAGCTTAAGGGCGGTCAGTTTCTCCAGATTTTCTTCGTTTTCTTTGCTCAACCACACATTAACTGTTTCATACTTGAGCTTTTTAGATTTATCTTTATGCTCAGCTTGTAGTTTTTTAATTTCATCGTAGTCAAAACCTAGTTTCAGAATAGAAAATTCTTCCCATTGTGACTCATGGAATACTTTTGTTGCTTTGTGGATAAACTTTGCATCTTCATTGTTCAAGCTTATTGACATTTTGTTTTATAATAAGTATTTTACTGCATGGATCTTAAAGACACATAATTTCAGAAACACAATTAGTTCAATCTATCTCCTGCCTGCCTAAACTGATTAACTTTATAATGTCAACCTGCGAGAAAAGAATAAACAAATCCCTTCATTAATTTCTAAAAATTTAAAATAGAAAAGAACCAGCCAAACAATTTTTTATCTAAAATCAAAACCTTCCTGCATTTCTTATTTCAACTTGAATTGAATATACACCAACTTCTCTCCTGACATTAACAAATTTAAAATAAATTCGACATCACATTTCAGAAAATATCATTTAAAATGCATTAGAATACTCAATTTCTTCAACTTTATATTATTTAAGCATCCTTGTCCTCGTGACACAGGGCACATGAAACAATAGCTATACTTTGCCTCTATACATCTCCTGATGTATTAGTTGAATTACAAAGCCAATGTATGATAAATAAAGTAACATATAAGTTGAAAATATTTGCTCTATATCGTAATGAGTTTCGCTTCGAGTTTCGATGTTCTCAGTATTTCTTTGTTTATTCATTGAACTAATTATCCTAATGTACACAGTTCAAGATAGTGGGCACGTTGCTCTGTGTACATAACCATAAATCATCTTGCACGACCGTGATAAGCCCTGTGTGGACTTTGGATCATTATCAAATGTAGGGCTCTTTCATTAGTAGAACATGACCTATGATGAGATATTATAAACCCGGGGATGTGTTTGGGGGGAAGCTGATAAGATGGCTTAATTAATGACGACTCACAGCCTCTTGTCCAGTTACCAATTAGTGCAATGGTACGCAAAGTCGCAATGTTAGATACAAATCCAATACCTGTGCCCAACAACTCACCCAGGATAAGTTTTGTATAAATGCTTGACATGTCTCCACTCTGAACAAGGCTTTATGCAAGCTGTCACTGATGTACAGGGGGTTCATATTAATTTGAATTTTTCGGTACTTTTGTAGTATGCGAACCAAGATGGCGAACACTGGAACACATACTACACAAAAGCCGACTTTTCTATCTCTTTTCGATTGGCATTGCTTACCTATTTTATTTTGAACAGCATGAGGGGGTGCGCAGGGCTGGCCGAAACCTAATATTTTACTGTTCTAAATACATTCTGAGAAAATATTTCAGAATATGAAATTTGAATACATTCTAACTTGGCGGCAAGTTCATGCGAAAAATTTTGTTCATTATATCTTCATGTTAATCACAATCAAAACGACTCGAACGTAAAGGTTATTGGTTATTTGTTTGTTACAACAAGAGATACTGTACGTTATGATCTATCTGTCTGACAGCTCAAAATCTCTAATTTTAAAATAAAAAAGTTATAAACTACTCCTAAATTGAAAAATTTACTATATTTGAATATTCGATTCGTCTTGTAATCTCTAGTGGTGAATATGGGATTCTAAGTTGAGATCTTTAACTTTTAATGGAACATAACGCAAATCTATAGTTCCTATTCCCACTAGTGTCATAAGTCAAACTGAAAAGATTCCGTCCCTTCCAAAAATCATACTCATAAGTTACTGCTTGTCAGAGTCTAGGTCAGAATTAAAATCAAATATATAGACACGGTCAAAGGTCACATGAAAGTGTTCCTTAAGGACATAATAAGCATTTCTATGAATTGAAAAAAAACAGCAAATTTTGGGTGAAATATCAGGCACCATCAGACTTAGGGATTCGTATGAAACAAAAGTATTATTCTTCTAGCATAGTAGTCGAAAAACTGTGGGCCACGGCCCAATCCAGGGCTTCTGAGCATTTCCTAGTTGATCTCTAATAAATTTCAATTATGGCAGTGATACACAAAAATTACGTGTATTACGGTGTTAAATTTGAAGTTTCCAAAGAAAATGTTGGGACCTGAAGCCTTTTTCATTTTACTATTTGGGCCTCACTTTGCCGGCTACTGTTCCAGTAAGCACTGAAATTTGCAATAGATCAATTGCAGAAAAAGTTTCTCACAGCAAAAACTACAACAATTTACCAAAACGATCCATTTCTAAGGCTGTTCCAAAGTGGCCAGAGAGCCTTGTTTGAATTAAAGAAGTCAAAACACCACATACTTTTGATTGGTATTAATCCAGATATTGTTAAAGCTGAAATGACTAAGCAACCTCAGTTGAATAAAGAAAATGAACTGAATCAGAATAGTCTAGGTTTCTGGATTTTCAACCTTTTTTAGTGGTGCGGAAACTCATTCGAGAGGCTCAAGAAAATCATGGCTAATACACGCAATGCTGTAAGTAAAATTGTAAAACCAAGCATGAAACTGGCTTAACAAAATGATCTTCAAAAAGTAGCAAGTTCAATAATAAAGGCTAACATAATAGGTATTTGAATAAAAATAAGTTTATTTAGACTCCAAAATCAGTATAATAAACAATAAATAGTTGATAAAATCAAAATAAATTAAAGTGAGTAAAGAATCGTGAGGGCAAAGAATATATATCATGGGCTTTTGGATTTGAATGTAAACTTGCAGAATCCCTGGACTGTATTTCCGAACTCCGGCTGAATACTACTGGTGTAATTCAATGGTTACCAACCTTTCTCGGTATATTCCTCCTTTTGTCCATTTCAAAACTCTTCATTCACCCACATTGTGCATTGAAATCTGTTTGTTGTTTAATGTAAAGATATGTACAGTTTGAATAGTTCATGCTGTGTAAATAAATATGTATTACAATAAAACTAAAAAGTCAGGAATATTGATAATGCCACGGCAAACACACATTACTCGCGCTCTCACGTTTGGATAGATTGAACAATTTGTAATAAGTGCATTAATTTGTATTACAATAATACTAAAAAAGGTATTAGGTATTATTATTGTTAATAATACAGTGAATACACGTACTTCCAGGTACTTCGCACTATCGTGTTTGTACAGTTTTATTAGTTTATATTATATGCATAAATACTTGTTACGATGAATACCAAAATATGGAAGAATATTATCACCACTAGGCTACAGCAAAAACAAAAAGGAATTACCTATCCAAAAACAATATGATTTCTCTCCAAAAAATTTCCCTTCTCAATTGGGACACTCTGACCCTAAGTCTAAAATAATGCCCAAGATCAGATTATATAGATTTATTAATTTCTTGTATGCAAATGAAAAAAACTAATTTAAAGTCATGCTAACCTTAACACGTCTGTTCAAGTACCCATATTTTTTAACAATATCACGAGTAAAATCATTGCTTTAGAGGGGTAAAAGAGGAAGTGCATGTTGTTTGTGACAAAAAAGAAAACAACGAAAAAAGGCGAGGAACAGGGGTTTTTCATGACGGTTAGTCATGGGGATTGAATTTCTATAAACAGATTTTAGCCTTAATTGAAGTTATTTGAAGCTAGGCACGTCTGCTCTGTATATGTTTAGTACGTAAGTCAAGTTATTTGATATGCCACAGATCGCAGTGAAACCAAGCAATTTGTGATAACTAGGTAATGCAACTCAATGTATCTGTTTGTTTATACAGCTGCAGTCAAGCGATGATTGCTGTGGCGTTTTAAATCAGACACCAATCATTGCTGTGCTGTAGATATAGTATGTTAATTCTTTCAACTTTATTTATTTAACTATTGAGCCGCTTACTGTTAGCATCAGCAATTAGATACATATTTGTTTTCTTGTTTAATAACATTTTTGGTACTTGTGTTATATTTTACTTTATATTCATTCTAAGAGTGCTTTAAATTTAAGCTGAATAAAGCCTTATATCAAGGTACTATATTTCTCATTCATTACACAAATTTGGGTCACATTTTTCAGAAATGGAATTTTTCAATTTTTTGTCATTATGGTCCAGGGGTCATCTTTTGGTCTGGGGGGCACATTACCTCTGGGTGTCCAATATAGAATGAACATCAAACTGATTTATAATAAATGTTCAATATTTAAAATTATTGAATTTAAGAGTAAATGAAATTACCATATCAAGTAATTGGGACCAAATAAATGCCTACATTTGTAAAAAACAATTGTAATAATATTGCCTTTTTTTGACCGGAGATTATTTAAATAAAATGTGAATGGCTGGTGTCAGTGCTTCAAATTATGAAAGCCTCGCAATCCTAAGCCATCCCTACTCCACACTTGATTCAAATATAAAACCCTATAATATCCTTTACCTTTTCTATTTTACAATTTGTCAATCATGATTCTGTAAAACCAACAACTTAACTCAGCCCAACCCAACAAGACTACATAGCTTATAAAAATATGGAATTATTTGGCAAGGGTTTGCATTCCGATACCAATGAAAAAGTGCCAATGTGCCGATTTTTTCAAATTGCCGATATTTCAACAATATGAAAAAGCCACCAATGCACATGAAATGCTTTTGTGTGTTTGATCCTAATTCTTGAAGTATGGATGGAAATCTTTCCACTTTGGTTTATGACACTAGTGGGCGTATGAATTATATATTTGTTCAGTATGTCTCATCGCAAGGTTAAAGAGCTCAACTAAAAATCCCATGGCCACCACTTCACCCAGTTTGTGATAAATTGGTTAAGCAATGCTGATCTCAGAAAGACAGACACTTCAAAATAATAGGAACCCCTTATGAATCAATGTCTGCTTGTATAAAGCCTTGTTCAGAGTGAAGATATGTCAAACATTTATACAAAAGTTATCACACCCTGGGTGAGATGGTGAAAACAGGATTTGAAGTATATAATTTTGTGACTTACCGTATGTACCATTGCACTAATTGGCAACCGGACGAGAGGCCGTGAGTTGCCATATCATTGAGTCGTCTTCTTGACTTTCTTCTCCCCCCTGGATATGATAAATGAACATAGGTCATGTTCTGTTGATAGTTCATAAAAAAGCTACCGGTACATGTTTGTTATGTCCTTCATTTATTGATGGATTTAAGTCCATGCAGTGCTTATCACACAGGTGTAGGTTTAAGATATAAATTATGGTTATGTACACAGAGAGACGTGCCCATTAACTTGAACTGTATACATTAGGATATTAGTTCAATGGAAATAACAAAGACATGCTGAGAACATCGAAACTCGATGTGAAACTCGTTACGACATGGGGAAAATATTTTCAGATTGCACAATATTTCTTTTTTTGTTCATTGGCTGTGTAATTTAACTATATCAAGAGATGTATTGAGGCAAACTATATCCTTTGTTTAATGTAACCTGTGTCACAAGGATGCTTAAATAAGATTAAGCTAAGAAGAGGCCAAAATTAAATATTCTAATATTGTGAATGAATTTTATATTAATATTTCTGATATGGAATGCCAAATTTATTTTAAATTTGTCCATGTTCAAGAAAGAAGTAGATTTATATTCAATTCAAGTTGAAATGGGGAATGTAGAAATATTAAGATGAAAAATAGTTTGTCGCTTTCTTTTTTATTTTAAATTTTTAGCAATTAAATAAAGGGATTTGTCGCAATGATATCATAGTTTTCCTAATACAACCTCATGTTTTAGAAATTATATGGACTCGTAGATGCAGTGACTTTGCCGGCCACTGTACTAGTAAGCACTGAAAATTTGAAATAGATCAATTGCGGAAAAAAGTTTCTTACAGCAAAAACTACAACAATTTAACAAAACGATCCATTTCTAAGGCTGTTCCAAAGTGGCCAGAGAGCCTTGTTCGAATTAAAGAAGTCGAAACACCACATACTTTTGATTGGTATTAATCCAGATATTGTTAAAGCTGAAATGACTAAGCAACCTCAGTTGAATAAATAAAATGAAGTCTAGGTTTCTGGATTTTCAACCTTTTTAGTGGTGCGGAAACTCAATGAAACATTCGAGGGGCTCAAGAAAATCATGTCTAATACACGCAATGCTGTAAGTAAAATTGTAAAACCAAGCAAGAAACTGGCTTAACAAAATGATCTTCAAAAAGTAGCAAGTTCAATAATAAAGGCTAACATAATAGGTATTTGAATAAAAATAAGTTTATTTAGACTCCAAAATCAGTATAATAAACAATAAATAGTTGATAAAATCAAAATAAATTAAAGTGAGTAAAGAATCGTGAGGGCAAAGAATATATATCATGGGCTTTTGGATTTGAATGTAAACTTGCAGAATCCCTGGACTGTATTTCCGAACTCCGGCTGAATACTACTGGTGTAATTCAATGGTTACCAACCTTTCTCGGTATATTCCTCCTTTTGTCCATTTCAAAACTCTTCATTCACCCACATTGTGCATTGAAATCTGTTTGTTGTTTAATGTAACGATATGTACAGTTTGAATAGTTCATGCTGTGTAAATAAATATGTATTACAATAAAACTAAAAAGTCAGGAATATTGGTAATGCCACGGCAAACACACATTACTCGCGCTCTCACGTTTGGATAGATTGAACAGTTTGTAATAAGTGCATTAATTTGTATTACAATAATACTAAAAAAGGTATTAGGTATTATTATTGTTAATAATACAGTGAATACACGTACTTCCAGGTACTTCGCACTATCGTGTTTGTACAGTTTTATTAGTTAATATTATATGCATAAATACTTGTTACGATAAATACCAAATAATTGAAGAATATTATCACTACTAGGCTACAGCAAAAACAAAAAGGAATTACCAATTACCCATCCAAAAACAATATGATTTCTCTCCAAAAAAATTTCCCTTCTCTTTTGGGACACTCTGACCCTAAGTCTAAAATAATGCCCAAGATCAGATTATATAGATTTATTAATTTCATGTATGCAAATGAAAAAAAAAGTCATGCTAACCTTAACACGTCTGTTCAAGTACCCATATTTTTTTAACAATATCACGAGTAAAATCATTGCTTTAGAGGGGTAAAAGAGGAAGTGCATGTTGTTTGTGACAAAAAAGAAAACAATAAAAAAAAAGGCGAGGAACAGGGGTTTTTCATGACGGTTAGTCATGGGGATTGAATTTCTATAAACAGATTTTACCCTTAATTGAAGTTATTTGAAGGTAGGCACGTCTGCTCTGTATATGTTTAGTACGTGAGTCAAGTTATTTGATATGCCACAGACCGCAGTGAAACCAAGCAATTAGTGATAACTTGGAAATGCAACTCAATGTATCTATTTGTTTATACAGCTGCAGTCAAGCGTTGCTGTGGCGTTTTAAATCAGACACCATTCATTGCTGTGCTGTAGATGTAGTGTGTTAATTCTTTCAACTTTATTCATTTAACTATTGAGCCGCTTACTGTTAGCATCAGCAATTAGATACATATTTGTTTTCTTGTTTAATAACATTTTTGGTACTTGTGTTATATTTTACTTTATATTCATTCTAAGAGTGCTTTAAATTTAAGTTGAATAAAGCCTTATATCAAGGTACTATATTTGGGTCTCATGTAGTTTCTTACCTAACATACTTCTAGTGGGCGTAGCATGAAAATTTTTTCACGTATCAATCCTAACCCCCACCTGACTACACCATCCAAAAATTACGTCATTACGACGTCACAGTGACGTAATAGAGCCCTTCAAACTATACGAACTGCCATCCAAGACGCGCAAACGAGCACCCAAAATCGAACAGTTAGTTCTCTCGTTTTCTCGTCGCAACGATTCCAATAGGAGAGAGACCGATAACGTCAGTCAGTTTTTTATCGTCGGCGCCATTGCCGTTTCGGTCAATCGTGAGTATATATTTGGCAAGCTCTATGCCGTGATTGTGACGTCGTAGTGATTTAATTTTTGGATGGCGTAATCAGATGGGGGTTAGGATTGACATATGAAAAAATTGTTATGCTGCGCCCACTAGAAGTACGTTAGGTACGAAACTACACGAGACCCCTATATTTCTCATTCATTACACAATTTTGTGTCAATTTTTTGTTATTCGTCACCATCACGTCATAGGGATTGCCAAAGTATAATTACGATCGCCCGAAATGGCATCTGCGCCGCCGATAAAAACTTGCTAAAGCCGGCGATCTCTCTCCTATCGTGATCGTTGCGACGAGAAAACGAAAGAAATAGCTTGCTCGATTTCGGGTTATCGTCTGCGCGTTTTGGACGACCAACCGCATACTTCGGTGGGCCTTATTGCGCCCCTGTAACGTCGAAATGACGTTATTTTTCGGTGACGTAGTCAGGTGAGGGTTAGGATTGACATATGCAAAAATTGTTGAGCCAGGCCAACTAGAAGTGGATGTGGTACTAAACTATACCAGACCCGACATTTTTTTATTTTATATCAGAATTTACGATAAGTGCAAATTCGGGTACATGTTCCCTAAGCGACGTAAGTACTTCTATTAGTCGTGGCACAACCATTTTTGCATATGTTATTTGTAACTCCCACTTGGCTACGTCATCCAAAAATTACGTCACTACGACCTCACAATCACGTCAAATAGCTTGCCAAAGTATAGCTACGATCGCCCGAAATGGCATATTCACCAACGATAACAAACTCACTGACGCCAGCGATCTCTCTCGTATCGGGATCGTTAAGATGAGAAAACGAGAGAAATAGTATGCTGGATTTCGGGTGATCGTCTGCGCGTCTTGGATGATAGCTTGTAGGGCATTTTCACGTTACTGTGACGTCGTAGTGACGTAATTTTTGAATGACGTAGTCAGGTTGTGATTAAGAATAACATATGCAAAAATGGTTGTGCCACGCCAATTAGAAGATACTTACGTTGTGTTGTGAACATGACCCCAAATTCGAAGTGTTACCGGTATACTATGTTATATAAGGCTCTGAATTGATGCCAAGAATAAAATTGAGGGCAGTAGCAGTATCAAACTATTAAGTGTTAAGAGGCTTGCCATCTGACAATCGAAGAACTCACCATAATAACGATGACATATTCCTGATGCGTGACGTTATCAGAGACTTTACGAATTACCAACTTTCATGACCTTTGACCGATGCTGCCAGCAACATTTTTTCTGGTGGTTAGGGGGACAAGCGTCGTTTCGGTACTTGTTGACTTCAATCAACTTATTCAGTTATTTCTAAGTACTTGCTTGGAAGACTGGAAGGGTGCGTTGTGTGTAGTGTAGGTGTTGCTTTAATAGTATTTTTCATGTTATAAATTAAATACAGATTAACTCATTGATAAGAATGACGAAACACTGGAACTGCTTTGTAGCAGAGTGCAATTCTAACTGGAGAAACTCCCACCTGTATTTCTATGTCCGCTTAAAAAGGAGCTTTTGTCACATTATAAAAGCTTCTTTAGAACGAATGGAATAGATTGGAGGCGTCGGCAATGCATCTGCTCATTGCACTGGAGTAAACCAAGGCGAAATTCACAACATTTGCCTGATATCAGGGTGCCTACTGGTTCTAGACAAAAGAGGAGTGCTAGGAAACATAGGGCTGTGAAAAGAAGTGCAAGGGAAAGTAGGCGCAACCAATGACATTAAACAACATGATAGGCAACTCTGACGTCACTCCATAAGACTACAGGCGAAACATTATATTTCATGATACGCACCAATGCACATATTTCTCGTCGCCTTTCGCGTCCGTTTTCCGCTCGCTTTTGCTACTCGGCGTCTTTTTTACGTGTAGTACCTGTCTTTTTGCGCCTGTAACGAAACAAAATAATCTCTATATCTAAGAAGTTTTGCTTACTTGGAAAGCTGGAATAACAGGCAAGCTGTAAAGAGCAATTCTGGACATCATAGACGTTTTTTTTTATCAGAGAAGATTACAAACGCGATAGCGGAAAGATTTGTGTGGAACATTGTGCAGATAATGACAAAGTTCAAAGTTAGTAATTTTAATGTTTGCGCTTAATCATTGAAATTTCATTTAAAGAGGGTGTCATACAAAACTGTGCTGCGATACAATTCCATAACACAAAGTTTGCACCTATCGAACTTGCTTTTGTAGGTGAATTTATTAGACATATTACATATTCAGTTAATCGTATGTAACATTGCTGGTACATAACGCATCGTAGATAGGTTTGTTTAAATTTAGCTCATAGCCCACTAATTAATATTATCTTCTATGCAGGAGGTTGCAGGGCTGAATTCAACTTGCAGCCTTACCGATCACCTGACGATGCTCATTTAGTTTGGCTCGAGCAAGTCTTCTTGAAATGCTTGTGTGGATGGAAACTACCTATATTTTTTGCCTTACTCCGATTTTAGACAAATTTATTCTGAGGGATTTCGCATATAATTCTCACTGATTGTTGGCTGTTTATAATTCCTATTGATTGCGAATTCTGATTATAACAATGAGTTGAAAATTTTTTTACCTAATTTACTGGCACCTTTTTCTTGTCAATACTCCAAGCTGAGGTAATAAACATGACAATACATTTATGTCATCTGGAAGCAAAATATGCACACTAATTAATAGTTTGGCACATTGAGATAATACATCATGACAGAAAATACAAGTTAAAGATATGTATGACCATCACATGGTAATTAAAATTAAAAAAATTAATAGGGGCTGTGGAGTATGAAAAGTTCAAGACAAAGAAAAGAACAAATGTTCATAGCTCATGAACTCTCAATTTTGCCTCCATTGCTTTGTGAAGGCCAATATATTTCGAGTGGCTGAATTGGTTTACCTTTATGATAGCAACGATTTTGTATTTAATATAGCGAGATTATTTCAATTTAATTGAAGTGATATAATTTCCCAAAGCAATGCTTGAATCGTCTAGAATAGATCAGTGGTGCCAAACTCATGGGTTTTCGAGAGCCGCATTGCATTTTGAAAATTGTAAAAAGAGCCGCAAACAGTTTTTGATAATGTATACTTAAAAGATATTTTTAAGATAGTTTTAGTTTGTGACATATATTGTGATGCAACTAAACAGTTGGATTAAGTTTTATTATTTTCTTCAATTTCAAATGCAATTACATATTAATATTTGCATTCCACTATTATTGCAACATTTGCAAGTTACAGTATTTATTATAAAAAATCGTAAAATTCTATGTACAACCATCAAAATCATTTTTGAACAAGCTTTGAATAAGGAAAGAATAATACATACACTAAAAATAACTTAATCTAAATATATGAACCTAAAATTAACAAAAATACTACAGTATAAACTCAATGTTTTAATAATTACATTTGTCCTGGCGTTTGGCATCTTTTTTGTGTCACCAGCACACTAAGGCCAGTCTGAAATGATTTTATAGTACCAACTCTAACTAACGAGGCCACTTGATCATGGGTTTATCTGGATCTTTACGAATGTTTAATCAATTCCAGTAATGTAAAAAAGTCACTTTTATCATTTCATGTATAGATCAGTAAAAAAACAAATGACAGATTTTTTCGACAAGACATTTCGCACTACATTGCGTGGCATAGGATTGCTTGAATTATTATTGATATTGATTTTTAGTAACTAAGTCGTTGTATAATTATATTAATATACAAACACATGGAAATTTTCTGTTCGAAGTTGGTCTTCGAATTTGTCATATTGACTGCTGAGCTTATTGTGTTTTTTGATTGTATTGATGGAAATATGACAAATTAAACAATGTGCTTCAGAATTTTGTGAAGAGCAGAAATGTTACAACTACCATTTTCTTCGAAAATGCCACCTTCTTCATGTACTTTGCGTTTAATTTAATCACTCAGGTGTTTTATTCAAGTATTTTTTTGCTAGCTTGATGTGTATTCTTAATTGGGTCAAAATGTGGACAAAAAAAATTAATATTCCAAAATTACTTTCAGTAAATTGTTTTCTGTGTGAATAATCAATTTCACTTTAGAAGGTTTGAAAAATCTATTACATTTAGATAAAAAAAAAACTTCCAAAATACTATTACAATTATTGTTAAGCGTTCGAGGGCCGCACTGGAAGTTCTCTAGGGCCGCGAGTTTGAGATCCCTGGTCTAGATTGAAGTTGTTCAAAAAATATATGATAGTATTTTATCATGAATGATGATTATACCCCTTCCGGAATTTGTTCTATAGTACTACCAAAAGTTGATGAACCAAATATAACACAGGTGCAGTGAGGTACCCGTAATCCTCATTTCCAAAGCTGTTTTAAGTATGTCTGGCGTGTTTTGTGCCTTTTTACAAATAAGACCGCTTATGCAATCTTACGCTTTGGAATTTTTAGTTATTTTCCTCAAGCCCTGCAGGATGTGGGGGCCATAAACAACTCTACCGGAGGGTCAAATGTCTTTGCATGCCTCCATAGGTTGTTTTTCTATTGCAAACATTATATTTCTTGGAATCACACTGTCACTGATATGTCGCCAGACTTCTGATATCTCCCCGTCTGCTATAGTTGTCCTGTGAATAAATAATAGGAAATTGAGATTAGACGAATAGTTGAAAGTTTTGCTTTATGTCGGCTTAATTTCTTGATTGATATATTTACTATTTCTGCTATTGCCTCTTGTACTGCAAGAGTCTCACAATGCTTAGACAGGTTTGTCCACAACTTTCACATCTGAAGAAAGAGAGGAGATTTATTAATTTTCGTTAAGAATAAATGAAGCAGTCTATATGATTTAGAATGGAAAAGCTAATAAATCCAATATCTCATGTTTTATGTAAAAAATATTTTACTGAATTTGGTATATAAACCAACTAATAAAAGGGTTTAGTCAGAAAATTACAAGCATTCGTGGCTCCAAATACTTGAGAAATCAGACTATACAATATAGACCGGTATGAGTGAAATGTTAGGTGAACTTGTTAACACTTTGATTCAATACGCAAATAAAAGTGAATGCGCAATAGTATGTTACAATGAGCAGCAATCAACAATGAGTATATATCCTCACTGATTAAAAAAATCTAACTGGAGGTGCATGAACTATTTGAAACCATAAGGGGTAAGTAAATATGTAATTTCGGCAAATGGGCAACTACGTACCGTACTGAATTAATAACTTCGTAGTATTTGACAAAGGCTGGCTTTCCCACATGTACTTAACAGTGCGATGCCCGGGTGTGATATACAACAATTGTATTCACCTTACCTTTTACCGATTTCTTTTTACCCCAACTTTCAAAAATATCATTAAAATCGACAACAACTGTCAAAGCAGGCACGAACACCATTCGTACTACGCCTCGAAAGCAGCACACATCCGATCGTTTTCGTCTCGTCAAGTATGTGCATTGGAGCGTGCTATCGAATACGATCTTCGGACAAAAATGCCGGAGTTGCGCATCATGTTGTTTAATGTCATTGGCGCAACAAACTACTAGAAAAGTCACAACCTGGTGAGATATTACAGAATGTCAAGGAGAGTCTGAGTGAAGTGAGTGGAGAAAATGCTACTCTTCGCGTTCACCTTCGTCAGCAGGTCACTGATAATGAATTACTTGCCAGTGAAAATTTTAGATTGAGAAATACAATAGAAAAGCTAAAAAAGGAGTTGAAGGAAAGCGAGGAAGTGAGAAAATTGGAACAGAGAAATGTTGAAAGAATAATGGAGAACAAATGGAAGTTTAGCTGGGACACTGTGACAGAAAGTTATTTCAAGTATTTTACAGGCATGAGTCGGGACAGTTTTGAGACTTTGTTTAGCTGCTTGAAGCCATACCTACACCTAATCAAATATCAATCATGTATTAGCAGCAAAAGTTACAAGCGGAAGGTTAGTAAAGAGAACGAGCTTTTCACGACTCTATCCATCTGCAGACATGCTCTGCATATGAAATTTGCAGGCTGGATGCTCAAAGTTTCGGCCTCGACAATGAGCAGAATTTTTGAAGCATGGATAGTGTTTGGCGATGCAGCTTTTAGTATGGTAGACTTGCAGCCTTCACATGGATTAATGAAAAAAGTTATTCCTCAAATTTACCAAGAATTAGGATTCGGCCATATAACACTGGTCTTGGATGCAACGGAATTCAAAACAAAACAGTTTTTCGATTTGAATTTAAACACAATCTTTTTTTCTGATTACAAGCAATGTCATACTGTTAAAGCATTTGTCTGCTTAGCTCCCCATGGCGCTTTAACAATGGTTCCAGATTTATATCCAGGATCTATCACAGACACGACAATAACACAAATAACGGGCTCAGTTAGAAATTGTTTACTTCATGATGGAATATTGACTGACAAAGGTTGGTATTGAGTAGTTGTAGTTAGTTTTACATGCTTTATAAAATCTCGCAATGAATTGGCAATATGGACTACCCTATATCTAACGAAAGCCCAATTTAGCGATGTACCCAATTAAGTCCACTCAAAGTACCTCACATAACCATCTGGCTGTAGTATTCCCCAAAATATTGTATTTAGGTGTTCTGAACGCCTTTATCGTGCTCCATTATTTACAACCCCATGATCCCCTCTGCCCCCCATACGGTACCGGTACGCTTTTGATAATTCGATTTAGAGGTAAGGTACAGGTGCGAAGTAGGATAGGATTTACATATTTATCCCGGGGGAGAGGAAAGCCGATAATACGGCTTATCCATATGGCGAACCACGGCCTCTCGTCCGGTTACCATTCCAAGTCGGGTATGGGATTAGTTATATGGTTTGTTTTCTGAGGCATGGACTTGGTGGTGGAGGAAGCCGTAACCGACCAGCGGTTACGTGAACCACCCAACGACGGCGAGGAGTCCAGCAATCCTCTCGCACATAACCATCCCTGCATGGGTTCGAACCTGCGAACCCACGCAGAGTAACTAGAGGTGCGGTGGCGAGCGTATTCCTAACGCTTAGCCCGTTGAGCCACACCGCCGCGCCGCAAGTCCTTTATGGGGGTAAAAAATCAGGAAGGAATTGAAGCTGAAGTGCCAAAAATATTGATTACACTTGTATTCTCATCCACATTAAAATAACCAGAGCTCAGGTTTTTACTAAGAGTGAACATCTAGAAATTCAAAATAAAAATAATAAAAATTGTGATCTAGGCCTGTTCTGTTCTCACTCGGTGATATATCAAATTTTAAGAGGGATTCTGTTTTTCAGGTTTTGCGATTAGTGAACTTGCTGCGGAGAAAGGTGCAGAGCACAACAGACCTCCAATGAAAACAGAAAATCAATTTTGCGAAGGTGAATGTGATGACAATTACAAAATCGCATGTCTTAGGATTCATGTGGAAAGATGGTACGCATCATGCTTTATAACTAGTACCTTTGGCTTATCCTAAGGAGCATTAGTCTATATGAAGCCTGTTGGTTTCTGCAATGATTGTGCCATGCACATGATTGAAGAAGAGGTGAAGTGAGCAATTGAACAGAACATTCGAATTCTGTTTCTACCCTAATATCGTTCATAGGATGATTGATTTTCTACACCTGTTCATAAACATCAAAACGACCATATCTGCTATTCAAGTTTTATTTATAAAATAACAAAATTTTTATTCTTAGGATTGGATACCTTCGGAACTTAAGGTTAAACATGATTAGAGGAATCCCTAACCACTGCTTTGAAAGTGGGTTCTTGCGATTATGAATATTCTGAATAGACTTTGATGAAACGAATTTAGGCCAAAAATGGTGAACTTTACAGAAAAAACTTTCAAATATATCTTTAGAATACCACTACCTATATTAAATTTAGGCATCCCCCATTTTTTGAGTCACCATCACCAACTTCCGATACCACAATAAAGCTTTGTATATATTGTTTCAGGCAAAGAAGGAGCAACCAGTCACCAACGGCAACAATTGATATTTAAAGTGATTCATTTGTTTATTATAACTTTCTACTTGCTTGCTCCAGATGCAGAAATAAATGCTTCTACATTTTTACATTAGTGTACTCAGTGTTTTTTTGTTTTATTGGATTGTTTTTAAATAAAAACAATATTGCAATAAACAATATTTCAGATCACTCTATGGGACATGCATTTTTTGGATTTTCATAAATTATAAAACAATATATAGCAGCAAACAATATTAATGAATTCATTAAACCATTCCACAGATAATTTTGGATTTTATACATAAAAACAGTGTTAGAGGCAGCGAATATTGATCTTGAACGAAATCAGTAATTTAAGATTAACCCAACAAATGATACATATTGCATTATAATGGGAGGCGTCCACAACAGAGGCGGAAAGGAAAGCATTCGGAAGAACTCTTTTCCCAACTGCTTACGTAGCAAAGACTGGCAAGTTTTTTTCGCATACTGACCCATTAAAAAAGCTATTTGGATGGGTGAGGCACCAAGTTCATGTTCTGAATGTCTTGAAAATATAATTTGCGGTCTTTGATCTGAAGACACAAGGTTGCAGATTTGGTACACCAAGATCTCAACGATCTTAAACTCTTAAAGTTTGGGACAATGCAAATATTTTCCTCCCAGAGTTTAACGTGCAGATCATCTGATGGTTCCCACCGGCGGTGGGGTGAAATGGGTTGGTCAGACTTCATAGCAACAAGCACCATTTCCAAAATTGCAATGAACTCTGGATCGTAGCAAAGCAGAAAATATGTTGATATTTTTGTCTCTGGGTGGTATGAGACTAGTACACACCTTGTAGCATTCGCACAGTGCATTTGGACTTGAGCCTGTATGACATGAGTTTTATCCACCTTGCTAAGCGGGCCATCTTGTTGCGCTGCTCGAGTCTTGATCTCTACAATATAGTTTTTGTTACAAATAATGCCATCAGGACTCGCCCCAAACACACCACGGGAGAAAAACCCACATTCTTCACACGAAATACCTGAAAGTGAGCGACAAATTAAGTCGCTAGGTATTTAAAAATTGCATAATCATATATGAAAAAACCATACCAGCATCATTTGCAAATTTCTTCCTTGCTATCGATTCATGTTCAATGCCACGACGAAAATTCAGGAAGTTTTTTTTTCTCCCCATGGATCCTGGTATCAGCATCATCCAAGCTTCGTCCATTTCTTTATTTCCATATATTCCTGTAGGATTAGTCTCAGATTAATAGAGATAACTGCAATTTGCCCAGAGTCTTGTGTTGCCCTTACATTCACCAAAATATCCAGTTGAACGTTTTTACATAATTGACTTTGACGGTTAACCCGCACTTAGAAAATAAGTCCAAGACACCGAAAAACTCATATATTATATATTAGGCCTGCCAAAATTGATGACATAGTATCAAATTGCTATGAGAATATTGTTTTTATATTCCTTTTAATCTAAATTCCCTGGTAAGAACTTAGCTGCAAGCAAACTAAATGCATGTGAAACTATGTTACAAAACACTGTGACAATTACAAACCAATTAGAGATCCACAGATTGAAGCGGTAAATCTTCCCTGTCTCAATTTAAACCACTCCTGTGACCTTTGCTTGACGTCGTAATACTTTATAATTTCCTGTTGTCTTGGAGGGATTGTAGAGGCAAACGAGTTCAATATCTGGTATGGCGGATTTGGTAACGATCTATCATTTGAATCTGTGCTAGATCTCCGACAATAATCATGATCATGTTCAATAGCTGGCACTATATATCTATCGCTCAATGTAAGATACATTCCAGATTTTCTCATTTTTAAATTCCGGGACATCGTTCTCATAAAATGAAGCTCCACTTCCTCTTTGCTTATGCAAGATTTAATCTCTTTCACTTTTTGAGCAATGTCTCTCGATCTAATTCTTCTGTTTTTACTCACACTTCGTCGTCTGACTGATGTAACCTAACACATACAATACAATGATTGAACTACAAACTTGATACCAACCACAGTGGTTCAGATATGAATCAGGAGTAACATTGCACACATGCAAAGTTTCTAGCTGAATGCAAATGTGCTAATCACCAAACAGACTTACCAGTATATCGGTGATGGGCTGCATTAGTATGCAGCTCTTCCTGGTATGTTTATGCCATCTCATGGGCAAGTCTGTGCATTGTTGTTCCAATAATGCAGACCCATTTTTGGCAATATAAATGAGTTGGAAAAATATAGCTATAACGTGGGAACATAATCCCGATTTTCCAACCAAGCATGTGCAGCAGCTGCTAGAGGGTACACCATGTATGAACTTCACCACAGCTCTTCTTGTGATCATGTTACTGTATGATTTATGTACATAGGCACGTACATACACATTTTCGCCGCATTGTTGGGATCTTATTGTAACCATCTGAAACATATCAATAAATACATTCATATTAAACTGGGTATAGGCAAAATTTAAAGATCAATATCATGAATGTCTGTGAGTGGTCAACAGGAAACTAAACAGTGAATTTAACACCTATACAAAGCAGCAAATAATTTTATCAACAAAGTGATTTTGAGAATTTTGGTCGAACCACTTAGAGCTATGACAACAGGTCTTTGTTTTATCAAAAATACGTATATAATAACCTTTCGACTCCTAAAGCTTGAATATCCTTTCTGCAAAATATTCCTACTTCCCGGAATTTTTGCTGAGACATAATGGTCTAGCTGGTGTTGAGTGAATGGTGGTAATAAGTTCAATGAAGCTGCCCATATCCCAGTTAGATGTAGAACTTCATCATAGTCCAATCTTCGACTGTAAATTAAATATGCAATGAGCATTTAGCCTACCGTATGCAGAAATGTTACATCAATATTTTAATAAATAACGTATTTACCGAAATATATGCCTGTCTGAATTCCACTTGATCTTTTTTGCGAAATATCTTTTAGACAGTTCTGGATATTTGCGAAATAGTGTGGCTCGTTTCATTATTTCGTCATTGGTACCGGAGACTTTTTGCCCAATGCTACATAGAAAAGCTTTATCGGACTCCATTACACGTACCGTAAGTTATCGGTATGGAAACCTCAAGATTTTCAAACTTTCACATTTACATTCACCTTATGCAGTCATATGTGTTAAAGTACGCAACAGAAAACAGAACTATTAAATTTGGGTAAGAGGTCTTGTTTATTTAACTTTACCATGGCACACACTCCTGCACTCTGCAGAGTGCGGTACCAGTACAACCGTCTGTTTGTATCAAACCCAGGCCACAACCTTAGATCACGGTGATTCAATCTATAGTTTATCTTAAACTGTTGCAACCAGCGAAACATCCGCACGAAATCGTGAAAACGAAGCAAAATCACCTTGTCCCCCAAGAGTGTGGTAAAAAGTCGGCTTGGCAGCAGCCGTCACGCTCTGCTGACTCGTATGAAAGTCGGTAATGCCGCAACGTTTGCAAAGATATTCGCAGATTGCCGCAAACAATAACACATTCCAGCTGTTACCCGCTGACCAGAAGATGGATACGATTACTTTTTGACTCAATAGCGACTTCTAGCGATAGAAAATATGATGACATTTTTACTTGAAACGTATGTATGTATGTTTATTTGCCTCAAAAATGTAACAGTATCTGCATAATAATTAAACAGTAAAACAGAGACGGGATACATGTTCAAGACCTTACTGGCCTAAGACACAGATGTGCGACATTGACCCCTAACAATAATAACAGCAGTTTAGGACTGCTGCGTTATACTAGGACAACAGACATGAAATATACAAACAAAACTCTAGTAAAATACACAAGATAAAGAGGTACGGCACAACGGCGATATGTACAATAGTCAGTTTATGGCACGTCCATATCCCAGGTTCCGGTTTGAAAAGATGGAGATAGGGTATGGGTCGCTGAATTGATATGTTTTTACACTAAGTCCCACGAAACGCGTAAAAATTTGTTCGGGATATAAACTTGCCGGAAACCAACGTTGGATGAGGCTACGACACGAAAAAAATTGTAAAAGATAAATGTAGAAAACCTCTGTTTAAACTTGAGTTGTTAATCATAGTTTGCACTGGACCAAAGATATAGAAACAATAGAAAGTCTGGCATAAAATGCGGCCATTTTCATAAGCGCTATTGTGTGAAATTTTTTGTCGCCATGTCTCAGCATGATAATTATAAATTTTTATTGAATGATCTAGTTTGCATAATTGACGATCCAGCGAAGGAAGTAAATAAACAATAGAATTATGCGGGAAAGAGAGACAATAGATCCGTGGGGGTCTCGAAGCTTGTTTTCCGATCAATAGAGGTTTGTTGCATGATGCATTGTTGCATGATAGTTCTTTTCTCATATTCTATGTACCCTTTGTATCTGAAAAATAATGTCTGAAAAGTAGGATGTCCTTAACTCACTAAATCTAATAGAATTCCAATAAATGTCTCTTAAGCTGGATCTGAATTCGGACGTCGTTTTCGAGCTTTTAATACTATGAATCTTTCCCCGGCCTTTGACCCCCGGAAAATTCTTTCTATACTTTACCATTGCAAAATTTTCGGGGCTATTTTGAGAGTGCTTTTGCAAGTTTACGCCTGTAAAGTGGGAAATGTGTTTCAACTGATTATGATTCATCATCGCATACAACAATCTGTTTTTTAAAAGTACCGTTAAAGAATTTTAGCCTAGTCTATCACAGCTATTTCTAGACTAATTTTTATTACTGCAAATAAATTAAAACTCCTAGGAAGACAGGGTCACCATTGAATTATCTGATTTACATTTGAGTTTCTAAAACACAACTGAAAACTAACGAATAGAGTTCAAAAATGCAATACCGAGGTAATGTTTACGACCACGCTTGAAAATCTGTCTAAGTGAGAAAAGTGTCTGAGCGGATGCGAAAAGGGAGCACTGTTACGTCACTTTTTGCAATTTGCTGATTGGCCAATGTCACGAAGTAAACAAGGAAGTCGATGCTCGGGGAAAGGTCCATGGACTTTTTCACCTCCTTTTTTTCGCCTTTTGTTTTCTTCACAGGGCTTCGAGAATTAGAAAGCTGTAATACTGTGTGTTACTTGTTGCAAATCACGTTCACGAAATCTATATATATCTATACTAAAAGGCTGGACCCGTTGCAGGCACCTTATAGGTACCTACCGGGTAGTGCAGTAATGTACAGGTCAACCAACTGCTATTTCAAACCAAAAAATAGCAGACAGTCACGCTGATGCAATCAAGGGTACCGGTAGCCTACAGCAGTGATTCCCAAAGTGGGCGATATCGCCCCCCGGTGGGCGAAAACGATACAGAGGGGGGCGAAAAAGTCGAAGGGAGCGATTTCGCGAAACCTGTTTTTGGTCGGCTCATCGTGCACTCGATTACTGTACTCTGCGTGCTGTCGTAGATTTAAATCACGTGGGCGATGTCACACGCGGAAGGATTGCTGGACTCGTCTTCGCAGTAAGGTACGGTGGTTTGCGAATCCCAGTGGTCGGGAAATATGTAGTAATCTGGCCCGGGACGCTTCACTGAATGGATCTTTCCCGACCTTTGACACCGGCAATTTTTCTCATACTTTACCATTCTAAAATGTTCGGTGTTTATTTTAAGAGTGGTTTCGCGAGTTGTTGCCTATAAAATAAGGTATTTGTTTCAAACTAACATTCTGATTCATACCATTCAACAATCTGATTTTTAAAAGTACCGATAAAGAAGTTTAGCCCAGTCTATCACAGCTATTTCTACAATAATTTTTGATTACTGTAATTAAACTGAAACTCCTAGGAGGACAAGGTGTCACATTGACTTTATTTAAATTTCCGAAAAACAACTAAAAACTAACGAATATAATTCAAAATCGCGAAAATTAGGCAATGTTCACGACCCTGCCTGGAAGTCTGTCTGAGTGAGGAATGTGTCTGAGCGGATGCGAATGGGGGGCATTGTTACGTCTTTTTGCATCTTTCTAGTAAACATCCAAACGGCGGTTTTAACGATGAATTAATCTTATTTATTATCTACGCTCGAGGATTAAATTACATTTTTTTACGCAACAGAATTTATCGTGGGACACGTTCAGACTAAATTTTATTATATCCTAAAAACTATATTAAACAGCTACTCGCTCAACGAGCCTACAATTTAATTATAATTAGACATATTATAAAGTCGATTAGGCAATTATGAAGTCGATGTTATTGCAATGCAATAAGGAAATCAAATTCATATTCTATTCGAGAGATTCATCACTGCTTAATTTTTTTTAAGAATGTATATTCTTAAAGAAAATCTTTATCAAAATTTCACAAATCATGCAAAAATATTCACTTCGATGTTTGGAAGTACATATTTGTGCAAACAATTATTATTTGAAAATGAACATTACAAAGAACAAGCAAAGAACGAGGATTAGTGATGCCCATTCAGAAAATCTTCCAATCTTGGCGTCACATTAAATGTCATTGTGATAATTTTTCAATAAGACGACTGAGTGGAGTTCACGAATTGTTGCAGTTTTTGCACGATGTTCCGTTTTTAACATTCAAAAAAATATGTGCGATCCGCAAAAGAATAGCAACCCTAAATCTTGTCCCCCGAGCGACTTAAAATTTGCCGACCCCTGAGCCATCCAAGTCCACGAATCCAAAACAAATGGCTGATTAATTCTATGGACTGGCGATCGGACTGGAATACGTGGTAGAATGGGGGATGGATTTTACCGAAGACCGTTATATATCATGTATTTCGGTGAAAGTCATCAGGCTGTAGGGATAAATGAGATGTACCTAAATCATTATTATAAGTTTTGAAAAATTGATTTTGTTTTCATTATTTTAATGTGAAACGGGGTGAATTTAGGGAGTTGAATGCTATAAGGCAAGAGTAGGCTACACGGCGATTTTTGAGAAGGTAGAACCCTGGATTCTTTCATTTCCGACCTCTGATATGGTGAAAAAGGGGTTTTCAGCCGTGACAATATTGCTATCAAAACAACTAAATCGCCTTTCCATTAGTAAACGGGGTAATTTTAGACATAATAAGAAACTCGCTGAAGAACACCAAGCTCATCCATCTCAATCAAAAACACTATATACTATGATTTGTCTCCGTATTTGGTCTGTAATATATTCGTTTCAAAATTTTTTTGCAGTGCTGGGGGAGGGGGGGGGGGGGGGTGATGAGGTTGTAAAAACTACTGTAGAGGGGCGATGGTACAAAAAAGTTTGGGAACCACTGGCCTACAGTATGTCAGTAAGGAAGAATTTGCCTTCGATACGATATTGCATTTTTATTAAACAGAATCTATTAGTGAATTATTTTGGTAGACTAACCATGTGTAAACGATGTGCATATGGTATTTTCCGGTCTGACAACCTGTACGGTACCCCTGTCGTTCAAATGGAGTGAGAATTGTGCCTTTTCCGGAGCCACATATTGAGCTCAGTGAGCGCAATTCTTCCATATTATCAGGAGATGAAACCAGGCAGCTTTAATAAAATAACTCAGCAGTAAAATCATTGTGATACATTATGTCTGTGAATGAAATTGTGAAATGAATTTAATTCTATTATTTTGAGGTTCCATTGCTTTCATGGTTTTTGTTTGTTGTGCCCAAAAGCATATATCTGGTGTGTATTTTTATCCCATAACACAATATCTGGATAACTGTATAATTTGTAGTAATTTTCTTGGATTTACTTGCTTGTTCCTTCATCATATATTTTTTATAATCTGTTATATTCTATTTCTACACTGATTGAATAAACTTTATTGTAAAACCTATCAGATACCAGACTGTTTTTGGTTGAACCTGTATGATTGGAACTCTGGCTCGATCTAACTTTGTGGGCTTAGCACCAACTGCAGACGACAGAACTGTTGGATCTATTTTGTTCCCTCCATATAGGTTGTTACCAATGCTGGGGAAGGCTTGTTTTTTATTCCCTTCAATTTCATCTGTTGGATAGTCTTGGTTAGTCCAACAATATGGCAACAAGCACCAGTAGTTTAGATGAATATGTAACAATTTATAAACCATTTTTATCACTATAACATTATTGGTCTTGTAATTTTATGTGGTATGTAATCGATCATAATACCTCAATAAACCTGAATC